GCCCGGTCAGTGTGCACATTCTCACAGGTCTGTAACCTACGGCTTGCCAAAACAAGCTGGCTGGCTGAGACTGTAAGCACCATTTTGGGCATGAACAAAAAACCTAAACAGCTCCATGGACCCATGAACCCAGGGCTTTGGCTATTATTCACCCTGTCCTCACAGCCCTGGCTGCTCAAGGAATGGGCTTCCAGCAGCGTCAGTGTAGTCTGGGAGCTTGTCCACACCCTCGCTGCTCAAAATGAGGTCTGCAGGACTGCCAGAATTGGCTTCATCTGGGAACTTGTAGGAAGTTCAGGATCTTAGGTCCCACCTGAAGACCTAATGGATGAGACTGCATTTTAAGAAGATCCCCAGGGGATTTGCATGCATATTAAAACTTGAGAAGCACTACTGTGTTGGCCCCGTAGGGTTGCCTTAACAAAGTACCACAAACTGGATGGCTTAACACAACAACAGAAATTTGTTGTCTGTTTTGGGGCTACAGACCTGAAATCAAAGTGTTGCCAGGGTTGGTTTCTTCTGAGGGCTGAGGGAAATTTGTTGCATGCCCTTCTCCGAGCTTCTGGTGATTGAGGATAATCCATGATGTTCCTTGGCTTTGCTCCAGTCTCTGACTCCATCATTACACAGCATTTTTCTCTGCGTCTCTGGGTCTAAATTTCCCTTTTCTTATAAGGACACCAGTCAGGTTGGACTAAGGGCCCACCCTACTCCGATATGACCTCATCTTAACTACTGCATTTGCACGACCCTATTGATAAGACCACACTCTGAGGCACTAGGGGTTAAGCCTTTAACACAGCTTTTGGGGGGGACACAATTCAACCCATAACAACTGCCTTCAAAGCCTGCCATTCCTAAATGCTGGTAGACTAGCTGATTAAGAAACATCTGGAACAGTTTATAAATTAGTTTTTGTAAACAGTTTTACAAATAGAGGGGGGAAAGTGAGACATCTAGAATGAGGGCTGGGATATCTATTTTTGCAAGGTGATTCTTATTCAGGCAGCACACCCAGCAGGATCCTCAGCTTTACGGCTGACCTAGCCCTAGTGCAGGGCCAGTATGGGAGCAATCTGGGGAGGTTCTCCAACAGGCTACTTCCAGGAATCACCCTGGGGAGTTTTACCACTGATACCCAAATCATACCATCGGAGGTTCTAGTGTAACTGATCTTTCATACCCCTGGGCATAGGCGTTTAAAGCATTTCCTGGGCGATTCTAATCTATAGCCAAAGTGGCAGACTAATGAGACAGACGTTCTCATTTTTACACATTACGAAAGAAGATAAACCAGTCCCTTTCCCATATAGGGAAGCAGGATATAAGCACACATAATCCCAAATATAAACACACATACAGGTTCCTAAACATTACGTTGCAGGTGTTCCACAGCTCTTATGTGCCAAATGAGGTTGCTGTGAGAAGTAAATGGATGTATATATCTAGCACCATTCTTAAAATCTCCCAGGATGGCAGACTGCTTATTTTTCCTTGTAGTTTTGCCAATTACTGAGATATATTTTGAGGCTTTTTTTGTGTGCTTAAAATTTTTTAATGATCTCTTCTTGGTAAATGAATCCTTTATCATAGTGGATTATTTCCTTTTCCCTAGTAGTGTTTTTCACCTCGAAGTCTATTTTTTCTCCTGAAATTAATTAGCTACACTGGCTAGCTTTCTTTTGCCAGTAGTTACATGGTATGTATACATTTCCACACTTTAACTTTCAAACTTTCATATGTTCTTATGTTCTGGATGAATCTCTTAAATGGAATATAGTTGGACCTTTAAAAATCTACTCTGACAATCTTGTTGCAGGTACTCTCGAAATTAGAGCAGTTAGTTCTTTTACATTTAATGTAATTACTGATATACATTGGTGATAAAATATTTAACAACTCAAGCTGGGTACTTTGTGGAGGTTGCAGTTCTAACAAGTGACCATGGATTACAGACTTGAAGGGACAGAGGAAATAAGGGATCCCCTCTTTGGGGTTTCACCACTGCTTCCAAGGGTGTGTCTCCCCTGCAATATCTGAGCATGGGGTGAACAAGGAAATGGGCTGCGGGCAGAAGCCTGGTGAGCTGGGACCAGAAGAGCAGTCCAATGGCCGTGCCCATCCATGGGGTGAGGCTGGTCAAAGGCATTCAGCAGGCTCAGAGCAGAGGCTATTTACCAACTTGTATAGAAAAACTTCCACATTTTACTACCCATATGCTGTACATGCCATTCAGAAGGATATCAGCCTGCTGATATATTTGGATTTAAATCTATCACCTTATTTTATTTGTTAACACCTGTTCTATGTTGGATCTTCTTTCTTGCCTTCATTTACTACATCTTTTTCTTTCTCTCTTGTAGTTTTCAAATATTGCATTCTGTTTCCTTTTTTAGTAATTATCTTAGAAATTACCTCATGCTAGTTTAACTTTTTAAAGCCTATTAACCAATACATACACTTTTCTGCCTGACAATACAAGGGTCTCAGAACACCTTAATTCCATGTATCCCCAGCCTCTACTACTTTACTGTTGTGCATCCTAATCCTTCATATGCTTTCTAAATCCATAAGATATTGCTATTCTTGTTGTTGTCTTGAAGACAATGCTTATTAACATTTACTACCATCTTTGTCCTTCACATCTTTTTGTAGTCTATGTTATTCTGGGATCATTTTCTCTTTACCTAAAGCACACACTTGAAATTTCCCTTAGGGAGAGTCTTTTCTTTGTAAATGTTTTCATTTTGCCTTCATGCATAACAAGATGTTTCCCGGAGGATGAAATTATAGGTCAGCCATTATTTTATTTCGGCACCCTGAAGAAATTATTCCACCACTGTTGCCCGGGAGCCTATGTTAGGCTTTTCCTCCAATAAAAGTCACCTGCCTTCTTTTCTCTGGCTACTTTCAAGGTGTTTCTCTTTGTCTTTCTGTGCTTCCAATATTGTGTCTTGGCGTGTAATTCTCATTACCAATCTTGCTTGAAATTTGGTGAGCTTCTGAGTCTGGTAGCGTGGTATCTTTCTGAAAGACTCCTAACGATCCATTTCTTAAAATACTGCCTCTGCTCCATTCTTTCTTCCCTCTGATGCTGAGACTGACGGACTGAATGTTAGGCCTTCTCACGGGATCTGACTGACTCCTCTGCATTTCCGACCTCTCTCGCTCTGGGCTTCACCTCTACCTCTCACTTCATTAACACCTTTCAGCAGTGAGTAACATGCTGTTAAACACGACACATCCAATAATTTTGTTTATTGTAGTTTTCATTTCTAGAAGTTCTATTTGGCTTTTGTAAAAAATGGTTTTGTCGTTTTTAAATGTTCCCTAATTCCTAATTTCAACCTGATTTTTCTTTTTAACTTAATATGTATGATGCTATTTTTTTGAGAATTGGTGTCTGAGGATTCCAACATCTGCTGTCTTTGAGGGTCTCTTTCTGTTGTCTATTGTTCCTGTTTCTTTTCATTCATGGTGCCTGTGCCTGGTTACCTTTGACTGCAGGCTAGCTATTGTACAAAAGAGTATCTGAGTAATTATTTGAAGCCTGGGATGAGAGTACCTCCCTCTACAAAGGAGTTGTGTTGACTTTTGGCATGTCTGGGGTCACCCTGAACCCAGTCTCATGATCGAGGTCCTCTGGAAAACCAATCCAGCTGCAATCAAACTGCTCATCTACTAGTAATTCACATTCACCCTGAAGGTAAGGTCCTTCGGAGTCTCAGCTTATTGTGTAGTGGGAAGGTCTACCATTATAGTCCCCACCTGGAGTGGCCCTGGGGATCGATTTCTGTCTCCCTTGCCCCTGCTAGGCTATCAAAACCAGTTTTCAAATTTGGTGCACTAAGCAAATATGCTGATAAAAAAGGTAGGTTTTGTACGCACTTCTCTCTCTGGGTTTCCATTTCCCCACCATCTTCTTCCTGGTGACTCCTTACTATTGTGCCAGCTCTTTAAAGGCTTTGGAGATTATCATTATTTAAAACCATTTTTAGAGTTGTTTTCAGGGCAAGAGTTGGTCCAAGTAATCTAGTCCACTATTATTAGAAATAGAAAGCCATGTAATATCTTTCTTAGTACATGGCAGGCACTCAGTAAATGATGGCTGAATTAATTGAATTATAATTTCCCTAATACACTCCTTTATTTTTTTTTGGCCTGCCTGCATTTACAGAGACTGTTTTTTACTCTCAGAATGCATAGAATGCCCACATTCCATCATTTGACAAAGCTCAGAACACAACGCCACATTTCCTCAAAGTTCTCCCTGTTTTCCGTACTTCCCAAATCTGAATCCTCTTTCTTCTCCATCTAAACCCTCACAAGACCTACTCTGTATCATTCTCAGAGTATTTAAGTAGATAGAACTATATTAATACAACTGTTTATCTCTCCTGTGGATTTATACTTTCTTGACTTTTCTGGGCTTCTAAAGAATTCCTTCACTTCCCTCCAGCTCAGCTTAGGTTATAAACAGATCTTTGAGAAAATATTACATCCAGTCCTGTTAGGTTTCATGTCCTGGGAGGGGACTGTTTGAACGCTTAGTCTGCCTATTGTTGCAAGCAGGATGTAGCTCATTCTAATAAACCCTTACATTTGTACAGCACTTCTGAATCAACAGGGTGCTCGCACATCCATTCCTCCTACTTGAGCGTCGCTATTACCATGCTGCAGATGAGAAACAGCGGACAAAACAGACTACATGATAGGCCCAAATAGAGCCACAAAGCCAGAAATGGAGCCCAAGTCTTTTCTCTTCCAGCCCATTCCGGGACACTGCACTTGTTTCCCCATATAATCTGTGCCACCCGTCACTCCTATCCCCACAAGACCTTGATCTCTTTGCAAGCAGACGTTCTGTATGTGAAAGTACATGTAGGGCAGGAGGGAAGCTGAATGCGGCAGCAGTGGGGCTGGCTGTGTGATGCTTACGCGCACATACGCACACACACCTCTCAAACAGAGGCCTTCTGTTTCTCTGTCCTCCTTACCTCACAACCTTGGTCCCATTCCTCATGACCTGCATGTCCACCATGCAGCCCCCTGTGACATAGGCTGCTAGGTTCAACTCTGAGAATTCAGCCTGGAGGAGAAAGCAAAACAAAAAAAGATTCATCAACTACGGATGAAGCTAATACGCTGACATTTATCGGGTACTTCTATGTGCCAAATAGATATTTATAACTCACCCAAGACTTAGGAAATCGGTAACATTATTTTCTTCCCTTTTTGAAAGATGAATACACTGAGGTGCACAGAAGCATGGTGACATGCCCATGGTTACATAATTAATAAAAGGCAAAGCTGGACTGAAACCCTTGTGTCTCTGATTCAGCCACTACTAATTTCTACCACCTTGAAGACGAAAAAGCAACTCTAACGCCAGGACCATCGGAGGCCAACTGCTACCGATGATACATTTTCTCTCGATTTCCTCAGCTTCAGGCTAGCGACGGATAGTATGTCACTGTTAACGGACCCCTCCTCAACTTATCTGTGCACTGTCCCCTTTTTGGTTTGACCCCTCCCCTCACTCCACCCACATGGCTACTGTAGAAGCACCATGTTTGTGCAGAGAAGTACTGTTCCCCTGGTCACAGTGAATGGGCTGGCACCTGACCCAGGACGGAGGAGTAAGACGCCGTCCCATCAGAGCTTGGAACTGCAGAGTGATTTACACGGTTTCTTTCTAGGGGGTTGTATCATCTTTAATGCACAAACCTGGGTGCAACTGGGGGCCATATTTCCTGCCATTGGATTAGGGAAGCACAGAAAACTAGGGGAGAGGTGGGGAGAGAGAGAGAGAGGAATGTCACAGCCACTAAGAGAGGGGCCGAGGCAAGAGTCTGGGAGTGCTCAGGGGTTCATGTAATAGCTGTAATCCTGCTCTGAGATTTTAGGAGATAACCTCTGTATCCCTACGAGTTCATCTTTGTGTTCTTACCTGTTTAAGCAAAAAAGAACTCCTATTGTCTGTGACTAGAATCTTATGGACTAAATCACTCCTACCAGATAATATGCTCCCTGGGGATAAGGGCTTGATGCTACGAACTTCTGTGCTAGTTTCCTAGGGTTGCTCTGACAAAGCACCACCCCCGGGTAGTTTAAACAGCAGAAATTAATTTTCTCCCAGTTCTGGAGGCCTGAAGTTCAAAATCCAGGTGCCAGCAGGCCTCATTCCTCCTAAGGCTGTGAGGGGGGGTCTTCCCAGGCTCTCAACTCAACCTGGAGATGGCGGCCTTCCCCCCCAGGTCTCCTCTGTGCATCCCTACAGACAAAGCTCCCCTTTTTATAAGGACACTGTCGTGCTGGGTTAGGGCCACCCCAATGACCTCACTTGAACTTGATCACCTCTGTAAAGATCCCCTCCAAATAAGTTCACGTTCTGAGGGACTGGGGGTTAGGGCTTCAACATATGAGTTTTGGGGACACACAATTCACCCTGTAACTCCATCCTTGGAAGTGCATATTAACAAACTGTGCCTTCTGCAGAGTAGATGGCAAAAGCTATTTCTACGGATTTAATGAATAAAAATAACTACTCAGCTATATGAAACACTCATATGTGCAGGAGACTGTCCTAGGCATTCTACATGTAGGAAATTCATTTAACCCTCACTCTTAGCCAAATGAAACAAGCAAGGCACAGAGAGATTAAGTAACTTGCGCTATGTCACAGAGTCAGTAGCAGAGCCACTATTTCAACCCAGGCTCCAGCCTGTTTTTAACTGCTGCCCCCCACTGCCCCCACTGTTAAGCTGACTAAGGCTTTGGATGGAGTACAACTGGAAATTTTAGAGGCCTAAAAATAATCCATTTAAAGAGAAAAAGAAGTTTATATTGAAGGGAAATATTCAAATATACTCCCTTGGAAATGGTTAACAGGAATTATGACCAGAGACCTAGCCGGCTCCCCAGAGAGCCTTCAAGCAAACTCCGAGGGCTTACATCTCCTGCTCTCATTAATAACCTCATTAGGCTGTGGCAGGTGAAAAGCAAAGAGTCCTGTTAATGAGTCCAGGTTAGTAAATAGTAATGACCTGCTTATTAAGTCTCATGTCTTAAAAATTCAGTTCCATCATCTTTAGGACACTTCATTGGCAAGATTACAAAGAAAAGTTAGCAAGAAAAGTATTGCTTATGTGTATGTAGAAAAAGAAGTGAGAAGAAAGTTGCAACATAGGATAGCTGGGTACCAAATCCATGATGAAAGGGAGTGAATCAGAATCTTGGATGGCAGACCCTCCAATCAAAGGAGGCAAAGACCCAGAGTGCTGTAGTGTCACCAAGCTGAGGAATCAGAAATTAGAGCTCAGGGAGGCTAGAATTTGCAGGAAAGAATATCAGAAAAGATGCAACTGCACAGAAAAAGATCTCCAGGGAGATCTTTAAGTCCTTCGTTGAGTACTGATCTGAACATGCATAAAAAGAAACTGTCAAGGCCAGGAAAAGAACCATCAGAAAACAGTACACTCAACAATCTCCAGAACTCAAGCAAGGCTGGAAATAGTTCATGTTCTCATCAGCTAAAGTGTAAAGACCTTGTAACATGAGAAGAGTCCTCAAAATTTAGTAATGATACTAAATTAGCCCTGGACTGAAGCATGCTCTGTATCTGGGATGACCAATTTGTCCTACTTTGTTTGGAGCAAAGTTTAAAAAATTTTTAAATTCCTGCTTCCCAGAAACCTCCTAGGTCCCAATTTTTAACTGAAGGTCTCATGTCCTGAGAATCTCCTTAGTACCAGGCAAATGCAAACAATTAATCACTCTATCTAGATCTGTCCTAAGAAGCTTGAATGCATGCCTTGAAGGGGTTAAGTTATCCCAAGTAACTTAACTGCATCCCCAAAGTACAACACTACTTAAAGGATTACAACAAAACCCAGTACCCAACACATAAAATCCACAACGTAAAATTTATGGCATTCAGTCACAAATTACCAGCCATTCAAGGAGGCAGGAAAATATGACCCATAATAAAGAGAAATCAATCAATAAGAGCAGATCCAGAAATGAAAGAGATATGATGGGAATAGCAAAAATGGAAGTTAAAACAACTATTATAACAATGTTCTATATTCTCAAGAATATAGAGGGGAAAAAACATTAACTGATGAGAAGAGAAGTAGAAAACGTAAAAATGGAAAACTAGAACTTCTAAAGACAAAAATATATCTTAAGTGGAAAATGTACTGTATGGGATTAATAGCAGATTAGACACTGTAGAAGAAAATACTAGTGAACTTGAAGAGAACACAATACAAGCCATAGGGAATGAAGCCGGGGAACAAAAATACTGAGAAAAGGAAGGGAACGAAAAGAAAGGGAAAGGAAGGAAGGAAAGAAGGAAGAGAGAAAGAAAAAGAAAGGAAAGAAGGACAAGAAAAGAAAGAGAAGGAAAGAAAGAAAAGAAGGGAGGGAGGAAGGAAGAAAGAAAAAGAAACCGAGCAAGTAAGCTAGCTCAGTGAGCTCTGGGAAAGTATCAGGTGGTCTAATGTATGTGTAACTGAAGTCCCAGGAAGACAAAAGGAAGGAACATCAAGAAATATTTAAAGAAAAGTGGACACAGATTTTGCAAATTTGATGAAAACTATAAACCCACAGCTTGAAGTTGAAAGAATTCAACAAATCCCAAGGAGAAGAAACAAAAAGAAATTCACACCAAGGCTCATAATAATTAACTCAGTAAAAACCAGTGATGAAGAAATGCACTTTATATTTCATTTAATAAATGAAATCTCACAGCAGCTTTTTTCCCTCATTTTATCTGTGAGATTCATCCAGGCTATTGTGGTTAGCAGCATTCATTTTTTATTTCTGTGCAGGGTTTTACTGTCTCTGAGTATACAATAATATATTAAATCCATTTTGCTGGTGACAGACACATGGACTATTTCTAGTCATTGGCTATTAAAAAATGTGTTATGTGCATTCTTACACATCTTTTTTGGTGGACAAACACACTCATTTCTCTTGGGAATATATGTAGGAGTGGAATTGCTGGGCCATAAAACAGATATATATTCAGAAGACATCACTGAAGAATTTTCCAAAGTGGTTTTGTCAATTTAAATGCATACCAGCAATATGAGAATTGTAGTTGCTCCACGTTCTCTTTAACACTTGGTATTGTCAATGTTTTTAATTTTAGCTATTCTGGTGGGTGTTCAGTGGTAGCAATTATGGTTTTAATTTGCATTTCTCTGGTAATCGATGATGTCTTGAGCACCTGTTCACAGGCTATTTAGTACGTTAGATAATATCTTTGGTGAAATGCCAATTCAAGTCTTTTGTTCATATTTGTATTTATTTGCATTTTTCTAATTAATTTGTAAGAAGTATGTTAAAATCTAGATATAAATTCTTTGTTAGATACATTCATTTGCAAATGTCTTTCATTCTGTGGCTTGTCTGTTTTACTACATTTTTAAGTGAAGATTATTATTTAAGAAGTATAATTTAATACTTTTTTCAGTTAGCATTTTTATTGTATTTATATTAAGAAATGTTTCCCTATCCTAAGGTCATGTAGTTACTCTCCAATGTTTTCTGCCAGAAGCTCTATGGTTTCATATTTTACATTTAGGTCTGTAATCCACCTATAATTAATTTTTTGTGTCAGGTGTGAGGTAGGACTCAAGGTGCAGTTTTCCCTTATGGTTACTCAAATACATTGGCACTATGTATGAAAAAGACCCCTCTTTCCCAGCAGAATTGCACTGGTGTCTTGCCAATCAAGTCACTTCAGAGGTGGCAGTCTGTTTCTAAATTCTCTAGTCTATTCTATGGATCGAGTTGTCTACCCTTGAGTCAGTGTCAAGTTGTCTCAGTCACTGAAGCTTTACGGTGAGTCTCAACATCAGGTGGCATAATATTATTCTAAGAGGGAAGGTGCCTAGATAGGCCCTGGTGGTAACAGGTCCCAACACAAGGTAGCATGACCACACCTCTCGTCTCCTCTGCCTGCTGAGCAGACACAAAGTCTTACTATTCACCCACTCCAAAATACACACAGACACTGGGCAACCAGACAACCTCAAAGGCTCTGTCCCAAAGAAACTGAGAGGGTATTTCCCTAGT